GGAGACCAGAGAGAGACCAGAGAGAGACCAGAGGGAGACCAGAGAGAGACCAGAGAGAGACCAGAGAGAGACCAGAGAGAGACCAGAGGGAGACCAGAGAGAGACCAGAGAGAGACCAGAGAGAGACCAGAGGGAGACCAGAGGTAAACCAGAGGGAGACCAGAGAGAGACCAGAGGGAGACCAGAAAGAGACCAGAGGGAGACCAGGGAGAGACTGTTTAATATTTGCTGAAACTTTTCGTCACTGAAGACTTTTACAGATCCTTTTTGAACAATTATTTGAATGAACCGAGAGAGCCTGTGTGACACAGGTGTAACACAATACAATACAATACAATACAATTTACTCTTGTATAGTCCTAAATCACAACAGCATCATCTCAGAGACTTAACAAAACCATTGAAATCACAGATCAGAGAATCAACAGTTAACACACATGAAGAATATAGAACACATGTTGATAAATGTCACACATGTAGAATGTTAAAGTGTCCTGGATCATCACAGTCCTTCTAGTTGGACACTAACTGTCCCACAGACCCTCCTGCATGGGCAAGGAAAAACTCATGAGAAAACCCAGTGGGAAAAAGTGAGAAACCTCGGGGAGACCCACAGTTTGAGAAAGGGATCCGCTCCCACGGACGGACAGGCTAATGATCCAGGACCTCAGCTACAGGACGTGGACAGGTCCGGTGCAGGACTGAAGCACTCCCAGGCGGGTCGGGCAGGGCAGTCCGCAGGTGTAGATGGAGGAGGCCAGGTCCAGAGGTCCCATCATCGTACCATGGAACAGACAATGGGACAACGGGTGAATAGCAATGAACAAACTACAGTCAAAAAATGGAAGTCAATATAGGAAGGAGGAGAGGATAGTGCTGTTACCATACTTCTCCAGCAGGGGGCTCTCTATGCAGCTTGACTGACAGTCTGAGGAGTTTAGCCTTCCCTGAGTCTTACCTTCCTAGCCATATGCTAAACTAAAGAGGACTGTTTTAGCCTAGCCTAGAGAGTAGGGTTGAAGATGCAGCGGACCGGGTCCCACATACGCAGACTCCAAGACCGGACGAGACCTGACCGGACAAAACAACCTAACCAAATGCTAAGTCTAAAAAGAGTGTTTTAAGCCTGCCTTAAATGTGGAGACCGTATCTGCTTCCTTAACGTGGGTGAAGCTGATTCCACAGTAAAGGAGCTTGGAGCTAAATGCTCTGCCACCGACAGTGCTTTTTGAAACCTTAGGAACCACCAGACGTCTGGCGTTTTGCAAGCGCAGCGCTCGGCTGAGGACATTAACATGTCTTGGAGATAAGAGGGAGCCAAGCCATTTATGGCTTTGTATGCCAAGAAAAGGATTTTAAACTTTATTCTGTACTCCACAGAAGCCAGTGGAGTGATTTTAACACTGGGGTTATATGCTCCCTCCTTTTGGTACCTGTTTAGATCCTTGCTGCTGGATTCTGAACGAGCTGGAAGCTCAATAAAGAGGTTCCAGCTTGTTCACAGGTGTGACACAGGTGTATACAGGTGTGACACAAGTGTGACACAGGTGTATACAAGTGTGACACAGGTGTATACAGGTGTGACACAGGTGTGACACAAGTGTGATACAGGTGTGACACAGGTGTATACAGGTTTGACACAGGTGTATACAGGTGTGACACAGGTGTGATACAGGTGTGACACAGGTGTGACACAGGTGTGACACAAGTGTATACAGGTGTGACACAGGTGTGATACAGGTGTAATGTGTGTTTCAGTATGGGCTGGTGCAGTGTGATCCAGTGAAGTGTCCCAGTCTCAGCTGCAGTTCCACCGTTCTGCCACAGGGGGAGTGCTGCCCCCGCTGTGTGTTAGACCCCTGTGTATCCTCTCTGTTGGGGCCCTCAGCTCAGCGTGGTCCCCCAGCTCAGCGCGGTCCCTCAGCTCAGCGTGGTCGCTCGGGACACAGCTGCAGGGACCACAGTGGCTCCCAGTGGCTCCACGGGGACACATGGACTCACGAGTCCTGCAGTAGCTGCTCTTGCCAGGTATGAGTCCAGGGTCTATACCAGGGTACCAGACCCAGAAACCAGACCCAGAGACCAGACCCAGAGACCAGACACAGAGACCAGACACAGAGACCAGACACAGAGACCAGACCCAGAGACCAAACCGACGGGACTAGATGCAAGAGACCAGACCCAGAGGATTAGACCCAGATCTATATCCAGGGGACCAGACCAGAGGCATTTATGGATATTAGTCATCTGTCCCTTGAGACCCAGAGACCAGACCCAGGGGACCAAACCAAGGGACTGGACCCAGGACATCAGACCCAGGGTACAAGACCCACAGGACAAGACCCAGGGACCAGACTGGGGGACTGGACGCAGAGACTAGCCCAAGAGACCAGACCCAGGGGACCAGGTCTTTCATTTGAACCTAGTAAACAGATTTATAATAAACGGCTTCTCTGTGTTTCTCTGCTCAGGACGGAAACATCTGCTGCACTGTCGACCTGCAGTGTGTCCAGGAAAACCGAGACCAACCAAACCAGTTCTGAACCAGGTCTGAACCAGTTTCCAAAGCAATATCACAAATTATGAGTTTTTAGTTTTGTACTTTCTACACATTTTGGTTTGTAGCTGAGTTTTTAAAATGTGATTTTTATTTTTTTGTACATTGCCCTCTGCAGGGGAAGCAGTGGTACTGGACCAGGTCTGAACCAGGTCTGACCCAGGGTCTTCTCCACTGCTTCCTCTTGTTTCCGTGTAAATATCTCTGATATCTGTGGAATTGTACCAGGAGCTGAGACCTGGACCTGGTCCTGGATCAAGGTCAAGGCCCTGGTCTGGGTCTGGGTCTGGGTCCGGGTCTGGGTCTCCTCCTCCTCTTCCTCTTGTCTCTGGTAAAGTCCTTGGTGTAAAAGTGTTTTGTAAATAGTCTGTAAAATGTAAAAATAATAATAATGTTGAACTGTTTCTTTACACTTCATGACGTTAAATCTTAGACTTAAAGCTGAGGTACTTAACTTTAGTCTCATCAAAAACATTTGTCAAACAGAAAGTAAAACATGTATGAACAAATTAGACCATGACATTTGGTTTTCAGGTTTTCTGACTCTTGAGCTGATTGGTTGAGGGAGGAGGGACCTAAACTAAACCAGGACCAGCACAAGGACCAAGACCAGGACCAGACCAGGACCAGACCTGGTTATAGTCTGAGAGTTACATACCTCAGCTTTAAAGTTACGTACCTCAGCTTTATTGTGACTTGAATTCAGGTTTATTATTTTCTATAAAGAGATGAAAATAAGATGGGCCTAAGTCTGAACCCTGTGGAGCCCCGTGTGGAGAAAATAGAGATGAAAGTCATGTTTGTAGAATCCTGTGTTTTCTGAAGCCTTTGGACTGTTTTTCCAGAAAAAACATCGTCTGGATTTAAATGTTTCTGTTTCGTTCACGATGAAACCAGCACAAAGTTCATTTAATAAAATCTGTTTGTTTAAGAGTCGTGTCTTGGACCAAAACCCAGAACCACATGGTGTCTGTGTGTGTGTGTGTGCGTGTCTCTGTGTGTGTGCATGTTTCTGTGTGTGTGTCTGTGTGCGTGTGTGTGTGTCTGAGTGTGTCTGTGTGTGTGTGTCTGAGTGTGTGTATGTGTGCGTGTGTGTGTGTGTGTGTGTGTGTGTGTGTGTGTGTGTGTGTGTGTGTGTGTCTGTGTGTGTCTGTGTGTGTGAGGTCAATGAGGCTTTGTTCTCTGCAGTATTTTCACTAAATTTCAACAGTGAATATTTCAAAGGCATTTGACCTCTTTCTCCAGAGTCACAGTGAACTGAACACACACAGAGACAGACATGGACACACACACACACACAGAGACAGACATGGACACACACACACACACACAGAGAGACAGACATGGACACACACAGAGACAGACATGGACACACACACACACAGAGAGACATGGACACACACAGAGACAGACATGGACACACACACACAGAGAAAGACATGGACACACACAGAGACAGACATGGACACACACAGAGAAAGACATGGGCACACAGACAGACATGGACACACACACAGACAGACATGGACACACACACACAGAGAAAGACATGGACACACACAGAGACAGACATGGACACACACAGAGAAAGACATGGGCACACAGACAGATATGGACACACACACACAGAGAAAGACATGGACACACACAGAGACAGACATGGACACACACAGAGACAGACATGGGCACACAGACAGACATGGACACACACACACAGAGAAAGACATGGACACACACAGAGAAAGACATGGACACACACAGAGACAGACATGGACACACACACACAGAGAGACATGGACACACACAGAGACAGACATGGGCACACAGACAGACATGGACACACACACACAGAGAAAGACATGGACACACACAGAGACAGACGTGGACACACACAGAGACAGACATGGGCACACAGACAGACATGGACACACACACACAGAGAAAGACATGGACACACACAGAGAAAGACATGGACACACACAGAGACAGACATGGACACACACACACAGAGACAGACATGGACACACACACAGAGACAGACATGGACACACAGAGACAGCCATGGACACACACACAGACAGACATGGACACACACAGAAAGAGACAGACATGGACACACACACACACAGAGACAGACATGGACACACACACACAGAGACAGACATGGACACACACACACAGAGACAGACATGGACACACACACACACAGAGACAGACGTGGACACACACAGAGACAGACATGGGCACACAGACAGACATGGACACACACACACAGAGAAAGACATGGACACACACAGAGAAAGACATGGACACACACAGAGACAGACATGGACACACACACACAGAGACAGACATGGACACACACACAGAGACAGACATGGACACACAGAGACAGCCATGGACACACACACAGACAGACATGGACACACACAGAAAGAGACAGACATGGACACACACACACACAGAGACAGACATGGACACACACACACAGAGACAGACATGGACACACACACACAGAGACAGACATGGACACACACACACACACAGACAGACATGGACACGCACACACAGACAGACACACAGAGACAGACATGGACACGCACACACACAGACATGGACACACACACACACAGAGAGACAGACATGGACACACACAGAGACAGACATGGACACACACACACACACAAATAGACATGGACACACACACACAGAGACAGACATGGACACACACACACAGAAACAGACATGGACACACACACACAGAGAGAGACATGGACACACACACAGAAAGACATGGACACACACACACAGAGAGAGACATGGACACACACAGAGAGAGACATGGACACACACAGAGACAGACATGGACACACACACACACAGACAGACATGGACACACACACACACACACACAGACAGTCATGGACACACACACACAGATACAGACATGGACACACAGAGACAGACATGGACACACAGAGAAAGAGACAGACATGGACACACACAGAGACAGACATGGACACACACACACACAGAGACAAACATGGACACACACACAGAGACAGACATGGACACACACACACAGAGACAGACATGGACACACACACACAGACATGGACACACACACAGAGACAGACATGGACACACACAGAGACAGACATGGACACACACACACACACAGAGACAGACATGGACACACACACACACAAACAGACATGGACACACACACACACAGAGACAGACATGGACACACACACACACACAGAGACAGACATGGACACGTACACACAGAGACAGACATGGACACACACAGAGACAGACATGGACACACACAGAGACAGACATGGACACACACACACACAGACATGGACACACACACACACACACACAGAGACAGACATGGACACACACACAGAGACAGACATGGACACACACACACAGAGACAGACATGGACACACGCACAGAGACAGACATGGACACACACACACACAGACATGGACACACAGAGACAGACATAGACATGGACACACACACACAGAGAGACAGACATGGACACACACACAGAGACAGACATGGACACACACACACACCTGTATGTCTTCTTCTGTGAGTGGAGATTGTTGTGACACTGGGAGGTCTCACTCCATTAAAAAGCTGTCAGTCAGACGGCCCCGTGCGGCCGCTCTGAAGCCCAGAGCAGGGCTCCTCTGCTGGGAACAGAGAGGAGGGACAGGCCCCGATAAGAACCAGAGACACCACCGCAGTCAGGACACATGTCACAGTCTGTCTGCGGCTCCACAGCGCCCCCTGTGGTCAGTGTGCTGCATCTACAATACTAGAAACTCATGTAAGTAAGTAAGTAAGTATTTATTTATATACCGCCTTTTCACTGCAGATCTGAGTCTCAAAGCGGTTTACAATTGTTAATTTTTGGGCATTTGTCTCTCACTCCACACAGAGATGGGAGCGGGGCCAGTACAGGAGGCGCATGCTAGAACTATTGGACATATTTTTAGTGGTAGGGGAAACCGGAGTACCCGGAGGAAACCTACGCAGACACGGGGAGAACATGCAAACTCCACTCAGAAAGGCCCTGGTCCGACCGGGATTCGAACCCAGGACCTTCTTGCTGAGAGGCGAGAGTGCTATCCACTCAGCCACCGTGCCGCCGCCATGTTGATCTAAAACAATGAGATGTTGGTCATCCAGCTCTCATCATCATCATCATCAGCAGCAGCAGCAGCTCCTCTCTCATCATTAGTAGCTCTCTCATCATCATCAGTAGCTCTTTCATCATCATCAGCTCTCTCATCAGTAGCTCTCTCATCATCAGTAGTTCTCTCATCAGTAGCTCTCTCATTATCAGTAGCTCTCTCATCAGTACCTCTCTCATTATCAGTAGCTCTCTCATCAGTAGCTCTCTCATCATCAGTAACTATCATCGGTAGCTCTCTCTCACCAGTAGCTCTCTCATTATCATCAGTAGATCTCTCTCTTAGGTCTGTAACTTTAGTCTAAATAACACATGTTTAAAGCTCAGGTCTGTAACTTTAGAGTTCTATTGTTGTTGTCTGAAAGTTAGGGACCCCAGCTTTAAATCCGGACTCAGGAGCAGAGACAGGTTTACTGAGTGTGACGCTGCATTAATGACTGATCCTCAAGACGAGAAAGGAAAGGTCACATGGATTTATCTCACCAGGTCTAAAGCAGGACTAAAGCAGGTCTAAAGCAGGACTAAAGCAGGTCTTAAGCAGGACTAAAGCAGGTCTTATGCAGGACTAAAGCAGGACTAAAGCAGGACTAAAGCAGGACTAAGGCAGGTCTAAAGCAGGACTAAAGCAGGTCTAAAGCAGGTCTAAAGCAGGACTAAAGCAGGTCTAAAGCAGGTCTAAAGCAGGACTAAAGCAGGTCTAAAGAAGGTCTAAAGCAGGTCTAAAGCAGGTCTAAAGCAGGTCTAAAGCAGGACTAAAGCAGGACTAAAGCAGGTCCAAAGCAGGACTAAAGCAGGTCTAAAGCAGGACTAAAGCAGGACTAAAGCAGGACTAAAGCAGGTCTAAAGCAGGTCTAAAGCAGGTCTAAAGCAGGACTAAAGCAGGACTAAAGCAGGTCTAAAGCAGGACTAAAGCAGGACTAAAGCAGGACTAAAGCAGGACTAAGGCAGGACTAAAGCAGGTCTAAAGCAGGTCTAAAGCAGGACTAAAGCAGGTCTAAAGCAGGTCTAAAGCAGGACTAAAGCAGGTCTAAAGAAGGTCTAAAGCAGGACTAAAGCAGGTCTAAAGCAGGTCTAAAGCAGGTCTAAAGCAGGTCTAAAGCAGGACTAAAGCAGGACTAAAGCAGGACTAAAGCAGGTCCAAAGCAGGACTAAAGCAGGTCCAAAGCAGGACTAAAGCAGGACTAAAGCAGGACTAAAGCAGGACTAAAGCAGGACTAAAGCAGGTCTAAAGCAGGTCTAAAGCAGGACTAAAGCAGGACTAAAGCAGGTCTAAAGCAGGACTAAAGCAGGACTAAAGCAGGTCTAAAGCAGGACTAAAGCAGGTCAAAAGCAGGACTAAAGCAGGTCTAAAGCAGGACTAAATCAGGTCTAAAGCAGGACTAAAGCAGGTCTAAAGCAGGACTAAAGCAGGTCTAAAGCAGGACTAAAGCAGGTCTAAAGCAGGTCTAAAGCAGGTCTAAAGCAGGTCTAAAGCAGGTCTAAAGCAGGACTAAAGCAGGACTAAAGCAGGACTAAAGCAGGTCTAAAGCAGGTCTAAAGCAGGACTAAAGCAGGACTAAAGCAGGACTAAAGCAGGTCTAAAGCAGGACTAAAGCAGGACTAAAGCAGGACTATAGCAGGTCTAAAGCAGGTCTAAAGCAGGTCTACTGGAGGTCTAAAGCAGGTCTAAAGCAGGACTAAAGCAGGTCTAAAGCAGGACTAAAGCAGGACTAAAGAAGGTCTAAAGCAGGTCTAAAGCAGGACTAAAGCAGGTCTGAACCAGGACTAAAGCAGGTCTAAAGCAGGACTAAAGCAGGACTAAAACAGGTCTGAACCAAGACTAAACCAGGTCTAACCCAGGTCTATAATCCCTGTACGTTCCTCTCTCTTTAAACTGTATCATGTTTAATTCAGATCTGGCGCCCGGAGGACGGCGCTCCATAATTAAAAGTGGGATTTCAATTTTAATTCATTTATGTGACGTCGCCATGGTAACTCCGTTGGGGAAGTCACATGACCCGAGGTGGCTGCAGTCCGGGACACGTGCAACCTCAGGACTGATCCAGGACCATGTGGGAATGGGGACTACATGTGTGCCAAAATGCCTGCTGCAAACACAGATGTTAACACAGGGAGGGTCCGGCTTTAAAGCTGAGGTATGTAACTTTTAGACCACAACAGAACTCTCTAATAAAACCTATGTTTCTAGTTTCTGACTCTTGAACAGTTTTATTCGATCACCCAGACCCAGCCCCAGACCAGGACCAGAACTGACCCAGACCAGGACCAGACAAGGATCCGGATCCAGAATCAGACCAGAACAAGACCAGGAGCCAGACCCAGGCCCAGAACAGATCCACACACACACCTGGAGTCAGCACCAGACCATACCCAGATTCTGACCCAGACCAGGACGAGCCCAGACTTAGACCGAACTTTATTACAGAGTTCATTGCACTCGTCCTAAAATCACGTCTCTCAGCTTTAACAAGAAGGCAAGACACGTTTATTTGTACAGCACAGTTCAGTCCCAAAACCAGAAAGGAATCATTAAAATCTGTTTTTATCAAAGTGATCGTGAGCTACACATGTCTGGTTGGTGATGCCTGGTGCCGTGCTGCCCTCTTGTGGCCTGAGGGCACTACTACATTTATAAACAGGGCAGAAAATACAGAAGAAAAGTAAGTTATATGATTGTATTGTAAGGACCAGGTGGAGAGAATGCAACTGCACATGGTCCTTTAATAAATCAAACTTCAAACAGCAGAACTAAAGGAGGTTTAAAGGAGGTCTATGGTGAAGTTAGGTCCCTCAGCTTTACTACAGACCTGTGTGATGCAGTCGATTTGTGATTTACCCCAACCCTCATTAGGAACCATCTGGACCCATTGGAAACTGGTCCGATCCATCAGTTAGAGCCTGAACATGACCCATTAGAAACACAAGCTTTAAAGTCACAGACCCCAGCTTTAAAGTTTACGTTCCCCAGCTTTAAGCAGCACAAAGGGTTCTCCTGGCGCCCCCTTCTGTCTCCTCTAAACATTTCTGACAAAATTGTGTAAAAGTCTGAGGTCAAAGAAGTGGCTTTAAAGGCCCAGTGCCATTTTAAACATGCTTTTAAATAACCAAAATAAAACTCTCATGCCTCATGTTTGATTCCTGTATTTAAGTATTAAAGGTGCAGTTAAATACATTCAGGTGACGTTCTCTCGATCTGTGAAAGTCCACAGACCTGAGTCCGAGTCCAGCTGCTTCAGGACCTCACGGTTCGGTCTCGAGTTTCCGGAAACAGACGAGGAAATGTCTTTTTTTGTTCGTGTCCAGCAGAAAAACACACGTCTCCGGCACAGATTCATGTCCTCTCCCAGATCAACAATGGTCCGTCTCGTCACAGACCTGCAGCTGTGTTGAGCTCCATACACGCTGACATCAGGAGCCCCCGCCCCTTCTGCCTGGACGCTCTGTTTTCAAACTCAAACTGAGGCAAAGCTCAGACTTTGACTGGATTCACAGCTGTTTTTCCTGAAGGAGTTTGGTGAATTTCTCATATATTTACATAAAACATGAGTGATTATTTGTACTTTCTGTGTACAAATGTACAATGCTAACCCGCTAGCTCAATGAAGCCCTATGGGGAAGTGCTCATGGATGAAGTTCTGCTCCAACTCTCAAAGTAAACTCCTCTAACCCAGTATTAATTTGTGTCACACTCACCATATTTTAAGAAACCTGTGCTGTAGCTCTCTGTGTAGCTCTCTGTGTAGCTCGCTGTATAGCTCTCTGTATAGCTCTCTGTGTAGCTCTCTGTATAGCTCTCTGTGTAGCTCTCTGTATAGCTCTCTGTGTAGCTCTCTGTGTAGCTCTCTGTGTAGCTCTCTGTGTAGCTCTTTGTATAGCTCTCTGTGTAGCTCTCTGTGTAGCTCTCTGTATAGCTCTTTGTATAGCTCTCTGTATAGCTCTCTGTGTAGCTCTCTGTGTAGCTCTCTGTGTAGCTCTCTAATCCTAGTGTTTATGTTGTGATAATGTCTTTGGTCAATCGTTTGTACATCTCTGGAGTTACAATCAGATGCCTTCATTCTGTCTCAACAAAAGGTCAATTTACACCACAGTTTATCAAGGCTGTGGTGAGAACCTGGGAAGACCAGTATGTCCCGCCCTCACACTGACCCCGCCCCCTCAGACTCCGCCCCCTCAGACAACACCCCTCCCATACTCCGCCCCCTCAGACACCACACCTTCCAGACCCCGCCCCCTCAGACAACACCCCTCCCATACTCCGCCCCCTCAGAAACCACCCCTCCCAGACCCCGCCCCCTCAGACAACACCCCTCCCAGACTTCGCCCCCTCAGACAACAACACCCCTCCCAGACTCCGCCCCCTCAGACAACACCCCTCCCATACTCCGCCCCCTCAGAAACCACCCCTCCCAGACCCCGCCTCCTCAGACCCCACCCCTCCCAGACCCCGCCTCTTCAAACACACTCCTCCTAGACTCAGCCCCTCAGACCCCGCCCCCTCAGACACCACACCCTCAGACCCCGCCCCCTCAGACACCACACCCTCAGACCCCGCCTCCTCAGACCCCACCCCTCCCAGACCCCGCCCCTTCAAAACACACTCCTCCTAGACTCAGCCCCTCAGACCCCGCCCCCTCAGACACCACACCCTCAGACCCTGCCCCCTCAGACCCCGCCCCCTCAGATGTCCTCGTACAGTAGAATCCCGTTGAACACGGTGAGCGGCTCCACAGAATGGGCCAGTTTCCCCATGACCAGGTCGATGCAGACCGTGTCCTGGGCCTGGAGGGGCAGGACCAGGCTGAAGACGGCCAGAGACCCCGCACTGCCCTCAGCCTCAGCCACGGGCTTGTTCTCCAGACCCTCCGGCTGGTACCCACCCGAGTCCACCCGCGCCATGCCGTAGTTGGAGCGTGACAGCACGGCCTCCAGCTTCTCGTGGCGGTATCCGGTGAGAACGGCGCTGAAGAAGTAGTGACCGTCCACCGGAGCCGTAAACACACCTGAAGGAAGAGGAGAGTCCATTTAGAGTTTGGAACATCAGGAGAGGAGGTACCATCTCAGGAGAGGAGGTACCATCTCAGGAGAGGAGGTACCATCTCAGGAGAGGAGGTACCATCTCAGGAGAGGAGGTACCATCTCAGGAGAGGAGGTACCATCTCAGGAGAGGAGGTACCATCTCAGGAGAGGAGGTACCATCTCAGGAGAGGAGGTACCATCTCAGGAGAGGAGGTACCATCTCAGACGCAGAGGTACCATCCCAGGAGCAGAGGTACCATCTCAGGAGCAGAGGTACCATCTCAGGAGCAGAGGTACCATCTCAGACGCAGAGGTACCATCTCAGGAGCAGAGGTTCCAGAAACAAGCGGCTTCGGCTGGTACCAAAGCTTAACGTCTCATGTTTGAAATGGGAAACATCCGGCCAGAGCGACAACAGGAGGATCTTGGAGTGACGTTGGTGTTTATGGTTTTTCCGCTCCGGTCACGTGACCATGTGGCACTACGGCAAAGAAAGCTTCCTGGATGCTACAGAGTTAGCTAGTTTTAGACGTTTGTAGAGAGATTTTACTAAATCAAATGGTCTGTTCTTGTTGTGTGGTCGGTTGTAGGGCCCGCTGGAGACAGATTCAATTTTTTTTCTAATTCCTTTGTAAAAGAACAGCGAAAAAATGGCCGCGGTAAAGTTGCCCTTTTAGGCTGTTACCTACGGTAAACGTAGAACGGGAAGCCGCGGGGATGAGGGGATAAAAATTCATTTAAAAAGTTTTGCAGCTACTTTCACTGCGCACTGGTTCACTGTGATGAGAGTTTTAAACATTGCATTTTGGTTGCTCATCCTGTTGCTTCCTGCAACCAACTTTTAATCCAGATTTTTGGGGTTCGGCCGAATACCGAAGATTCTGCCAAATCCGAAACCGAATCCCGAATCCTACTCCAGCCTCAGTCCATTAATGTTTCGTACGCAAATGTTTTAACAGCGGCGATGTTGTGGACTGTTTAGGGTCCTCACCACCACGAGACACATCACCTTCTTTGGACTGAAAGTTCGACCAAACAACACTTTTTCTGCTCACGAGTTCCATTTTCACTTCCTCACTCACACAGCCTGAGTTACTTTTACTTTTAAAGGGCACGAGGAAATGAGGCTAACACAGAGACAGTTTAATTCTGAATTAGATTCACTCCTTTACTTGTTTAATCATCATACACCTGTTATGCGCCTCCCTGTGTTATATTTCTGAAATAATTATTTGGAATAAAATGGTAAACTGTCTTTGTGTTTCCCACATTTCCATGTGCCTTTGAACGCATCTAGAAAAGAGGGGGACCCCTGAAGTAAATGTGGCTGCACCTGTTTTGGGGTCGTAGAAGTCTCCCTCGTTCACAAAGATCTTGTCGAACACCACAGTCCCGGGTTTCTCCATCGGGACGGTCAGAGCAGCAGAGAAGGACAGTTTGGGAACCAGGGAGTCCACACCAGGTCCACCTGAAGACCACAACAGACCACAACAGACCAGTTAGTACCACACAACAGACCACAACAGACCAGTTAGTACCACAACAGACCAGTTAGTACAACAAGTAGAGAAAGACGAGATTTTTCTGGCTCAACCCCTCCCTCCCTCACACACACACTCCGCCCCCTCAGACACCATCCCTCCCAGACTCTCTCTCTGGTCTCTCTCTCTGGTCTCTCTCTCTGGTGTCTCTCTCTGGTCTCTCTCTCTGGTCTCTCTCTGGTCTCTCTCTCTGGTCTCTCTCTGGTCTCTCTCTCTGGTCTCTCTCTGGTCTCTCCCTGGTCTATCTCTGGTCTCTCTCTCTGGTCTCTCTCTGGTCTCTCTCTCTGGTCTCTCTCTGGTCTCTCCCTGGTCTCTCTCTGGTCTCTCTCTCTGGTCTCTCTCTGGTCTCTCTCTGGTCTTTCTCTGGTCTCTCTCTGGTCTCTCTCTCTGGTCTCTCTATGGTCTCTCTCTCTCTTGTCTCTCTCTCTCTGGTCTCTCTCTCTGGTCTCTCTCTCTGGTCTCTCTCTCTGGTCCCTCTCTCTGGTCCCTCTCTCTGGTCTCTCTCTCTGGTCCCTCTCTCTGGTCTCTCTCTGGTCTCTCTCTCTGGTCTCTCCATGGTCTCTCTCTCTGGTCTCTCACCTGTTTCTCCTTTGGGGCCTGTGAAGAGAGAACACAGTCAGTGAGATTGTAAAGACCTCATCATGAAGTGAACTCTGAGTCTGTCTCACCTGGAGGTCCTCGAGGTCCGACGTCACCGTGTCGTCCTGGCAACCCAGGAAGACCCCTCAAACCTGGGTACCCCCGCTCCCCCTGAGGCCCTGGGAGTCCTGTGGGGGAGAGAGGAGAGGAGTCATTTGTCCTGGGTCTACAGCCTCAGTCCTGGGTCTACAGTCTCAGTCCTGGATCAATAGCCTCAGTCCTGGGTCTACAGCTTTACTCCTGGATCAATAGCCTCAGTCCTGGGTCTACAGCCTCAGTCCTGGATCAATAGCCTCAGTCCTGGGTCTACAGCTTTACTCCTGGATCAATAGCCTCAGTCCTGGGTCTACAGCCTCAGTCCTGGATCAATAGCCTCAGTCCTGGGTCTACAGCTTTACTCCTGGATCAATAGCCTCAGTCCTGGGTCTACAGCTTTACTCCTGGATCAATAGCCTCAGTCCTGGGTCTACAGCCTCAGTCCTGGATCAATAGCCTCAGTCCTGGGTCTACAGCTTTACTCCTGGATCAATAGCCTCAGTCCTGGGTGTACAGCTTTACTCCTGGATCAAGAGCCTCAGTCCTGGGTCTACAGCCTCAGTCCCCCTCTCACCTCTCCCACTGTCCTCCCCCGGCCCTCTTCCCTTCAGGGCCTGGTTCAGGGTGGAGTTGAGGGTCTTGATCCGCCGGTGGTCTTGGTCTTGATTCTCCGTGAGGACCTCAATGAGACCATTGTGAATGACCAGTGTGTTGTTCAGGTCCGCGACACACGACCAGAGACTGGAGACGTGACGACTCAGACCTGGAACCGACACCATCAGAACCAGAGCGAGAGAGAGACCAGATAGAGACCAGAGAGAGACCAGAAAGAGAGACCAGAGAGAGACCAGAGAGAGACCAGAGAGAGACTAGAGAGAGACCCGAGAGAGACCCGAGAGAGAGACCAGAGAGAGAGACCAGAGAGAGACCAGAGAGAGACCCAGTGTCTGGTATCTGTACCTTCTTTGATCTTGCCGATGGAGTGCGTGACCCCATCCATGCGGCCGCAGAGACCCTCCAGAGTGGACAGTCTCTTCTCCAGGTCCTCCCCTGACCTCCTGCACTCCCCCAGCTCCGTCAGGACGTTGTCCTCGAAGTCGCGTCTGTCCTGGGCCAGGTCGTCCCAGTGCTGCCTGCTCTGCTCCACGTGCTCCGACACCTCCATCTGGATCTTGTCCAGCTCCGAGATGATCTTGTCTTTGGTGTTTCCTGGAAGTTCCCACGTGTGGTTAATGTGTGAAACACTGCCCCCTGGTGGACAGTGTGAGATAGGATTTGGTTTTGGCCTCAGAACGTATGTGTCTGACTTTGTTTGGGTCAGAAACACACACAGTGTTTCTGCCCTCACCCAGGTCGGTGATGACTCTGCTGTGTGTGTGTGTGTGTGTTGTGTATTTGTGTGTTGTGTGTGTGTTGTGTCCTGACCCAGGTCAGTGATGACACTGTGGTGCTCGTGTGTGTGTGTTTGTGTCTGTGTGTGTTCGTGTGTGCGTCCTGACCCAGGTCGGTGATGACACTGTGGTGCTTGTGCACCGTGAGTTGCAGGTGGTGCAGAGACTCGTTGACGGCGCTGAACGAGACGATGACCTCTGACAGCTGGTTCTGCAGCGCTCTGAGCTGCTCTCCACCAAGAGGCGCTCCGATCACACTGTGTCCGTCCAGAGGCTTCACCCCCGCTGGGGAGGGGCCGCTGAGGGGAGGGGTCCCGGGGTCCGCACCTGAACCAGAGCGAGAGTGAGGAGGAACTATAGACTGTAAATAATAAAGATGGAATCACGTCTATCTCCGCTGAGACTAATGTGACATCACTTTTGCCTTCTGTGGCTTTTTCAAAATGGCCGCAGAGAAAATATGAAAAAACACATTCGCACATGTGTCAGCTGCACGAGCCCCATTCATTTGGTGCATTCAAAAGTCCACAGCGGCTAAACTAGACTGGTCCAAAAACATACACTCCCTCAGACAGCATCTGGAGCCAAGAGGACCGAAAACCACTTTTGGACCAAGAACCACTTTTGAACCAAGAACCACTTTTGAACCACTGAGAGACGGTTTGGGGCGATGAGGAACAGCATGTGCGGCGGGAGGCAGTGGGTACAGAGACTTGATGCATTCGGCGAAAGCAAGAGATTAACTTTTTCCGGAGCCGTCACAGGGACACAAGACATTCGAATACAGCCAAAACAGAAGCTAACCAGGACTAAACCAGGACTAAACCAAGACTAAACCAGGACTAAACCAGGATTAAACCAGGATTAAACCAGGACTAACAATGGGGGACACTGTGCTTGTGAACATACTGTATGCCTCCAGCCCATAGACTGTATATATTAACGGACGTAGTCACGCCTATCTCCGCCGTTCTGACTAATGGGCCAAAAATTGTGCTCTCCTGGAGCTATCCAAAATGGCTTGCATTTTGGCCACTTTTGAGCCGGGACCCGCCCCCACTGCTCCAGCCTTATTTCCCCGTGACTATAAACAAGGCTCCTAATGTGTGTTAGCCGCATGGATCTATAATAATAACTAGCTTGTAGCTGAAGAACTCATGTGCTCGGGGGATTCTCGTGGTACTGCAGACTGAACCAGACTGAACCAGACTAAATTCACGTGGGCTACCCATAAATTTTCCCCATAGGACTCAATGCATATTAAAACAGCTCAACCTCAGCTGACAGAGAACCTGACAGAGAACCTGACAGAGAACCTGACAGAGAACCTACAGAGAACCTACAGCTTTCATAAAGGTCTGATTCCGTGGGGATTTTAGTGTCCCTTGTCGTCCTGAACTTCTTTTCTTCTTAAATCCTTCGGTTTTGTTTAAATCCACACTTTAGTGCCACAAACTCTGCTCCTCTGGCTCTCGCTCTAACTCCCGCTCTGATGAACTGCTCTGATTGGTCAGAGCGCGGCCGAGCCCCTCTGTGCACGTGCGTGAGACCCGGTGTGAGACCCACACACGCGTGTTTGACGCAATGCATTATGGGAGATCATCCACTGCGCAGAACCGGGAGGACCAGACGATGCCCAAAGTTTCCCATAGATCTTTGAGAGTTCCAGACGACTTCCGCTAATCTTTCAGCCCCCATGCCGTCACAAAGCGCCACTGAGCACAACCATTCATTTGAATAGGGCGCCATCTTGGATCGCCGGGGCTTGGTTAGCCGACACAACAAATTTATATATTTAGGTTTAAAAAACAAAACAAAAAACAATCAATATACAGTATATCGCTATCGACCGATATGAATTACTTTGTTTTCAGCCATAAGGTCCAGCCCTACGCTCACCTCTGCACTGACTGCTGCACATCTGGACGTCGTGTCTGAGGAGCTGCAGCTGCTGCTGGAGTCTGGAGCAACAGAGGTCTCTATATTCTAGAAAAGAGGATAACATGTGATGAAAACCAGAAAGAGACCAGAGAGAGACCAGAGAGAGACCATAGAGAGACCAGAGAGAGACCAGAGAGCGAGACCAGAGAGAGACCAGAGAGCGAGACCAGAGAGAGACCAGAGAGAGACCATAGAGAGACCAGAGAGAGACCAGAGAGCGAGACCAGAGAGAGACCAGAGAGCGAGACCAGAGAGAGACCAGAGAGAGACCAGAGAGCGAGACCAGAGAGAGACCAGAGAGAGACAAGAGAGTGAGACCAGAGAGAGACCAGAGAGTGAGACCAGAGAGAGACCAGAGAGAGACAAGAGAGTGAGACCAGAGAGAGACCAGAGAGCGAGATCAGAGAGAGGCCAGAGAGAGACCAGAGAGAGAGACCAGAGAGCGAGACCAGAGAGAGACCAGAGAGAGACCAGAGAGAGAGACCAGAGAGAGACCAGAGGAAGACCACAGAGAGAGACCAGAGAGCGAGACCAGAGAGAGACCAGAGAGAGACCAGAGAGAGACCAGAGAGAGACCAGAGAGAGAGACCAGAGAGAGACCAGAGAGAGACCAGAGAGAGACCAGAGAGAGAGACCAGAGAGAGACCAGAGAGAGACCAGAGAGAGAGACCAGAGAGAGACCAGAGAGAGACCAGAGAGAGACCAGAGAGAGAGACCAGAGAGCGAGACCAGAAAGCGAGACCAGAGAGCGAGACCAGAGAGAGACCAGAGAGAGACCAGAGAGAGAGACCAGAGAGAGAGACCAGAGAGCGAGACCAGAGAGCGAGACCAGAGAGCGAGACCAGAGAGCGAGACCAGAGAGATACCAGAGAGAGACCAGAGAGAGACCAGAGAGAGAGACCAGAGAGAGACCAGAGAGAGACCAGAGAGAGAGACCAGAGAGCGAGACCAGAAAGCGAGACCAGAGAGCGAGACCAGAGAGCGAGACCAGAGAGCGAGACCAGAGAGCGAGACCAGAGAGCGAGACCAGAGAGAGACCAGAGAGAGATCAGAAAGAGACCAGAGAGAGACCAAAGAGAGACCATAGTGGAGTCTGCATGTTCTCCCCATGTCCTTCCAAACCTCACCTGCGCCTCCTGAGTCCTGACTGGTCCCTCGATCTGGGCCTGAGTTCAGTCGGATCTGGATGGTCCGGATCTGGTCCTGGATGTGGACCAGAGCCTGGTGAGAGGAGTTCTTGACCTTCTTCAGCTCGTCTTCGATGCGTCCACAGAGATCACAGCCGTGTCCCAGCGTCTCCACCTCCGTCACGATGCGGTGGAAGTTCTCTCCATGATTTCCGGTCAAGTCTTTGATCTTTCGTACGTCCTGGCTCAGGTCCACCACCTGCGAGGGTCAGACCAACATCACATGGGTTTGTTTCATGGATCTGTGTTAAATATTAGGCCTGTCAAAATTATCGCGTTAATTCGCGTTAATTTCCGTTTTCATTAACGCGTAAAAAAATTAACGCTTTAATGAAAACGGTCATTTTTCATTAACGCGTTAACGCATTAACTGCCATTGACGTGTTAACACGTCAATTGCGTTTCCCGCTATTTTCACGTTCCCAGATGTCTATTGTATCAAATATGTAAGGCTTGAGGCAATATTTCATCGAGCCAGCAGATGGCAGCATTGCTCTATGAGTGGTTTGAAAACAGATGCACATGTGCCTCTTTTTTCTCTGCTTTCTGGTGATTTCAACAAAACTTACCTCTACTGGACTGGGGATTAAAGGGGAACGAAACGAGCTAGAAGCAAAATTATTTTTGCTGATGAAAGAAGACAGTCCATTCTTTCAGAATCTGGTTTTGGATTTCAGATAGTCATAGTACACAATATTCTGTGGGTCTTGAAAATACTGTAAAACTCATCAGAAACGGATGGCAATCTGGGAGTACCTGTTCTGAAATAAGCTGACAGTCAATCGCATGTCCGAATGACCCGCCCATTTATAATAATATCAATCGGAATGCCGCGGACACGTGTGTGTGTGTGATGGTGACAGCGGTAACGTGGTCATATAATACACACATATATGTACACGCACAGGGGCCATTCTCTGATGTTGTGTGACACACGGAGGAGAGGAGGAGACACGCTGAAATGCAACCAAACTCGCAAAATTAAAGCTGGGGTACCTACATTTTCCCTTTCATTAAGAGCTCTTGTTGGTTGTGCCCAAAAGTAGAAGGTTGTGAGCAAGTCAAACAGATTTAAGTACATTTGGTCTGAATAACAATGTGTCATTACATTTGAAAATCTCATTTAACTTCAATTGGAGTGGATTTGAAATAGAATGTTAAAAATGCGATTAATCGTGAGTTAACTCATCTGTACTATGCGAGCTAACTAAAAAAAATTAATTGTTTGACAGCCGTATTAAATATATATATCTTCATTGATAGATTTAACCAGTAAGAGAAACTGGTCTTAAATATGTGTATTTTTGTTCCATCTCCTTTGGACATTCCCAGAAGGAGTCTCTTGATGACATTAGCTCACTAGACTTGTCCAGGGGCTGAGGACCCAGATACTAAAAGTGTTTTGTCTGGATTTGGTCTGTTCTGAGCTTGATAATTAGCAAAGACAGTTAGCTAACATGCAAACCTAAAGACTACTTTGCCTTTGCTGGAACTCACTTCCACCACACATTAGGAACTCGGACTTACTACAGAACTTCAAAATCACTGCTTAAGCTAACTCATTAACGCAGCTAAGGTCTGCTAAGATGTGGTCGGGGGAGGTCTAACGATCCTACATCATTAGCTAATTGGGTGTTTTGAATGAACCCTGTATGACTGAGAGCTTACACAAACTTAGGTTAGCATGTTAGCATGTTAGCGGGCCATATAAGACCACACAGAGAACCACAGTTGGATATGGCTGAGATAAACTAGTACCTTGTCATGGAGCGACTCTCCGGTCACGGACAAGTCCTTGAGTTGGGTGTTGAAGTGTCGTATCCGGTCCTCGTTGGCCACCACCCTCCACTCCAGAGACTTCTGCGTCCCGCCTTCTGCTCCACCCGTCCCAGGTCGCCCAGCACCACCACCCTGTGGCCTGGTGCCCTCTTCTCGGCCGCCTTCCTCCACCCCTCTGCCCCCTCCAGAGCCCCCCAAAGATGATCCTGAACCTCCAGATGATCCAGAGCCTCCAGAGGATCCAGAACCTCCAGATGATCCAACACCACCAGATGATCCCGAACCTCCAGATGATCCAACACCACCAGAGGATCCAGAACCTCCAGATGATTCTGAACCTCCAGATGACCCAGAACCGCCAGAGGATCCAGTACCACCAGATGATCCAGTACCACCAGACGATCCCGAACCTCCAGAGGATCCAGTACCACCAGATGATCCAGTACCACCAGATGATCCCGAACCTCCAGAGGATCCAGTACCACCAGATGATCCAGTACCACCAGATGATCCCGAACCTCCAGAGGATCCAGAACCACCAGAGGATCCAGTACCACCAGAAGATCCCGAACCTCCAGAGGATCCAGTACCACCAGACCATCTCGAACCTCCAGATGATTCCGAACCTCCCAGAGTCCCATCAGTCCCACCACAGCATGTGTCCAACCTGCTCCCGATCGCTATCGTGGCGTTCTCCAGGTCGGACAGGCGGCGGCTCAAAGCGTCCGTCTTGAGTTTTCCGTGACTCACGTCGAGCTCCACGTCGCTGATCCGGAACCCCTGGTCGTCGAAGCGGTCCAGGAGAACGGTCTTCAGGTCCGCCATCTCCCCCATCTCCCCGTGGAAGTACTGAAGCATGGTTTTATGGATGGTGTCGTTGAAGCGTCGCTCCAGATCTCGAAGGTTGATCTGTCGAAAAAGAAGGGGCTCTAGTCACACACACAAACCAGTGTGTGTGTGCGTGTGTGTGTGTGTGAGTGTGAGTGTGAGTGTGAGTGTGTGTGTCTTGCTTTTCAGTATTTAAGTGAGAGCCAACACAACTTTGAAATTTGAGAATGGGTAAATGTCCTGTTGTTCCTCTAGTTCCTCTCTGGTCTCTCTCTCTGGTCTCTCTCTCTGGTTCCTCTCTCTGGTCTCTCTCTCTGGTTCCTCTCGCTAGTCTCTCGCTCTATGGTCTCTCTCTCTCACCTGTAGTCCTGTGTAGTCTCTCTCTCTCTCTGGTCTCTCTCTCACCTGTACTCCTGTGTGGTCTCTCTCTCTCTGGTCTCTCTCACCTGTACTCCTGTGTGGTCTCTCTCTCTCTGGTCTCTCTCTCTCACCTGTACTTCTGTGTGATCTCTCTCTCTCTGGTCTCTCTCACCTGTACTCCTGTGTGGTCTCTCTCTCTCTCTGGTCTCTCTCTCTCGCTCTCTGGTCCGCCATTGTCCACTTTGTTCTGGAGCAGGTCCAGGCTTTGCGAGGCTGAGCTGATCTTGCGTTCTGCGTTGGAGACCCGGGTCTGCAGGTCCTGGATGTTGGAGCAGCAGTCCTGGACCCGGCCCTGGTCTCGCCTGAGTCCGTCCAGGTTCTGCCGGTGCCGTGAGTCCAGGAGGTTGAGCTGTTTTTCCAAAGCACGGATCCGATCACGGTCGTCCTGCTGCTGGCGCCGAAGGTCCTCCACCCCGGCCTTCAACACACCACATACTATTGTTGTTATTATTATTCATGTGTGTGTGTGTATATCTATCTGTGTGTATGTTGTGTATGTGTGTGTATTAGCCTGGTCTTACCATACCATTTCATTTGGTACTAAGGTCTGGATTGGCTCCACAGACGTACATGTAGGAGATGATCATGGACCAGAGTTTACACATGGTAAGACCAGGGTAGGAGTGTGTGTGTATGTTGTGTTTGTTGTGTATCTGTATATGTGTGTGTGTGTGTGTGTGTGTGTGTGTGTGTGTGTGTGTGTGTTTCAGAGACCGCAGGAAAAGTGTCATACTGTAAAACGACCAAGATATCGTGTTTACCTGGCAGGAGGAGCAGGACAACGACACTCTTCTCTCCAGCTCTCTCAGGATCTCCTCTTTCAGGGAGGTGTGGGACCCCCCCAGAGGTCCCCCCTGAGGTCCCCCCAACGGCCCCCCCTGAGCCCCCCCCAGAGGTCCCCCCTGAGGTCCCCCCAACAGCCCCCCCAGAGGTCCCCCCTGAGCCCCCACCCAGCTCGTTCCCTTTCCCGTTCCCCAGATGGTTGTTGATGCTCAGCAGAGTCTTGTCATGAGCCTGTTCACAGAAAACACAGAGTCAAAGTTTTAATTCTCACCAACAGAAGATTAGAAAATCAGCAATAATCATAAAAACCACTGTTTACGGACACTTTTCTAATCATCTGACTCTGCTCTACCCTACCCTCCTCTACCCTACCCTACCCGACCCAACCCGACTCGACTTGACTTGACCCTTCTCTACAGGGAGTGTTTGTCTTTGTCACAGCAATACGGTAAAAAATAGTCTTTTTTTGGATCAGGATCCAAAATGTAAAACTTCCGCTCAGTCTGTAGGGGGCGCTGTAGTTCTGGAACTAACTTTAAATGCTCCAAGATTGACATAAAATGCAGCGACTTTGAGCCGAAACAATGAGACAACTGAAACAGAGACACGAGGGAAAATTGCTATTTTTAATTTTTCCAGGTCCGTGTACTTTTGCGTTCACAAAAACAACGCAGAAGAGAAAGCGGCAATAGCGATCACAATCACTGACATGCAGATTCACGGGATTAGTTTTATCACAGTCTGTGTTTGGACAAAAACAGGAGGTAATTTGCTGTGTGCCTGAGAGAGAAAATAGCCCTTTTTGATTTTCCAGTTTTCTCTTCAGAAATAGAAAATGTATCGAACGCAAAAGGACACGGACCTTTCCATTTCCATTTTGATTTATCCATTTTCAATCCAAATGCGTTTGTGAGGGGGCGTGGCCTTTTTCTTGGCTTGAGTTGACAAACACCTGAATTGAATTTCCGGAACTCACGGAACTGAATTTTGGGCACAATTTTCAAAAGGCGCAAGAAGCAGAAGAAAAAAATAATAAACTATAAAACCAACCAACACAGACCTGGGTGCGGTTGTCGAGCTGATCCAGTTTGGTCTGAATGCTGTTGATGGTCTCTGTGATCTCTGGTTGAGCCGCGTCAGCCGGGTTCCTGCCTCCTCCGGACCAGGACCCCCCGCTGGTGCCCCCTTGTGGCCGGGTCATCTGGGTGAAGCTAGTTTGCAGGTCCTGGAGGGTCTTTGTCAGAGTCTGGATCCGGTCCTCGAGCCGTCGCACCCTCTCACTCTCAACACGAGCTGAAAGAGACCAAGGTTTAGTTCATCAGAAAATATATATACACTATCCCCTGATCTCTCTGGTCTCTGCTGGTCTCTCTCTGGTCTCTGGTCTCTCTCTGGTCTCTCTCTGGTCTCTTTCTAGTCTCTTTCTGGTCTCTTTCTGGTCACTTTCTGGTTTCTCTCTAGTCTCTTTCTGGTCTCTCTCTAGTCTCTTTCTGGTCTCTCTCTGGTCTCTCTCTGGTCTCTCTCTGGTCTCTCTTCCTGGTCTCTCTCTGGTCTTTCTTCCTGGTTTCTCTCTGGTCTCTCTCTGGTCTCTTTCTGGTCTCTCTCTGGTCTCTCTCTGGTCTCTTTCTGGTCTCTCACTAGTCTCTCTCTGGTCTCTTTCTGGTCTCTCTCTGGTCTCTCTCTGGTCTCTCGCTGGTCTCTGGATACACTATTATTTAATTACAATTTACTGCAGAGTGAAAGGAACTCACCTGTATTTCCTCCGCTCTGTCCTGATCCAGATCCTCCTCCCCCCTGTCCAAACTGCCCTCCCCCCTGTCCAACCTGCCCTCCCCCCTGTCCAAACTGCCCTCCCCCTTGACCATAGTTCGTCCCATAGTTAGTTCCACCTCCTCCTTGTCCTGTGTTTGTATTAGATCCAAACCCGGTTTCAAAACCGGGTCTCTGGTTGGTGTTAGCTCCTCCTGTTCCGTAGCCATTTCCTGTGTTCCCATTGGCTCCTCCTGTTCCGTAACTATTTCCTGTGTTCCCATTGGCTCCTCCTGTTCCGTAGCCATGTCCTGTGTTCCCATTGGCTCCTCCTGTTCCGTAGCCATTTCCTGTGTTCCCATTGGCTCCTCCTGTTCCGTAGCCATTTCCTGTGTTCCCATTGGCTCCTCCTGTTCCGTAGTCAGTGTGTCCAGGCAGTACCCCGGTGCCTCCTGCAGGGGGCGTGTTGCAGTCCTGTCCGCTGAAGCCCTGACAGCACCTCCACTCCAGCTCCGTCACCATCTTGTAGGCCACTTTGTACCGAGGACGCATGTAGGTCCGGTATCTGGAAACACAGGAACAGTTAGAAGCGGGTCACAGACCAGGACCACAGCATTTCTATATTTACGTAAACAGTTTAAAAAGTACAAACACATCTAAAATATTGAGGCAATTCAGTGACATGATCACAGCCACAACAACACTTTAAGCAAAAGTCTAAATATAGATGTGTCTTAAGTGACTTTTGAAGGAGTCAAGAGGGGTCTAAAGTCAGAGAGATACAGCTGAAGGATCGGCCCCCTCTGGTCCTCGAGGATCGGTCTCCTCTGGTTCTGGAGGATCGGTCTCCTATGGTCCTGGAGGATCGGTCTCCTATGGTCCTGGAGGTTCGGTCTCCTATGGTCCTGGAGGATCGGTCTCCTCCCACTCTTAAATGCCTCTGCCGGCCTTGTCTCAGTACTATCCAGTCTCCATTGTTACATGCCAATTTGAAATTCTGTATATAAACACAGTGAACAGAACCGGTGACAAAGGGCAGCCCTGGCGGAGGTCAACATACACCGGGAACAGGTCTGACTTACTGCCGGCAATGCGAACACAGCTCTGGCTCCGGTCATACAGGGACCGGACGGCCCTCAGCAGAGGACCCCGGACCCCGTGCTACCGGTGAACCCCCCAAAGGACACCCCCAAATCCACAAAGCACATGTGGACAGGTTGGGCGAACTCCCTTGAACCCTCGAGTATCCGATGGAGAGTATAGAGCTGGTCCAGTACAACATCCAGAGACTTTAGATAGTCAGGGCAGATCTCATCCACACCCAGCGCCTTGCCACCAAGGAGGCTGCCAACCACCTTGGTGACCTCAGGGAGATAGAAGTATCCGCCCCAGCATCCTCAGCCTCTGCCTCCAGGACAAAGAACGTGACGGGGGGATTGTGGAGAACCTTGAAGTATTTCTTTCCACCGTCCAACAATATCCCCAGTCGAGGTCAGCAGCTCTCCACCCGCACCACACACGGTGTTGGCAAAGAACTGCTTCCCCCTCCTGAGGCGCACGGTTTGTCAGAATCTCTTCGAGGCCGACCGATCTACCTGCTCCATGGACTCTCCGAACACCTCCCAGTCCCGGGTTTTTGCCTCTGCAACAGCCCGGGTCGCGGCACGTTTGGCCTGCCGGTACTGGACAGCTGCCTCAGGAGTCCCACGAACCATCATGGCTCGATACGACTCCTTCTTCAGCCTGACAGCATCCCTTACTGCCGGTGTCCACCACCGGGTTCGGGGGTTGCCGCCGGGACCAGCACCAGAGACCAGCAACCACAACAACGAGCTGCCGCATCGACGATAGAGGAGGCGAACAGGGTCTACTCAGACTCAATGTCCCCCTCCTCCACCGGGACCTGGGAGAAGCTCTCTCGGAGTGCGCAGTGATGCGGTCTTGAGACGTTCCCAGCAGACCCTCACTACACGCTTGGGTCTGCCAGGTCTGACCGGCTTCCTCCCCTGCAGCGGATCCAACCTTGACCAGGTGGTGATTGATTGACAGCTCCGCTCCTCTCTTCACCCGAGGGTCCGAGACATGCGGCCGAAGGTCAGATGATACGAAGTTGATCATCGACCATCGATTATTTTCCATGGGAGACCCTACCAGGGGAATGAAGCCCCAGACAACATAGCTCCAAGGATCATCCAGGATTGTTCAAACTAATTAAATTAAACTATCTTGAGCCAAGTCCCTTTGATAAAAACTTGTGCTGATGGTATTTGTGCCATAACCGGAGCAGACCCAGCCAAGGAAGCAATCTGATTGGTCAATCCTTATATGGCTCTTTTAGAGAACAGATTTTTTATGCTCTAATTGGTGACAGTGACACAAAGCATTGTTCATCATGGGTTAGCATTGTTCTAAACCTAGCCTTGAAGCTAACCTCAACTGGACACACATGACATGTTATTGTAGCGTCTCTCAGTGTTGCATCACTTCCTCTTGGAGACTGAGACCCAGAGCAGGGTCCTCTGACGTAATGTTGTCATGTGTCGGGGTTTTCTCACACTCTGGATTCTTCTGCTTTGTTTCAGATTTAAATGCAGCAGTTTCCGCCACAAATATGAGCCGAGGTACAAGACCAGAGCCGAGGTACAAGACCAGAGCCGAGGTACAAGACCAGAGCCGAGGTACAAGACCAGAGCCGAGGTACAAGACCAGAGCCGAGGTACCAGACCAGAGCCGAGGTACAAGACCAGAGCCGAGGTACAAGACCAGAGCTGAGATACAAGACCAGAGCCGAGGTACAAGACCAAGGCCGAGCCGAGGTACAAGACCAGAGCCGAGGTACAAGACCAGAGCCGAGGTACAAGACCAGAGCCGAGGTACAAGACCAGAGCCGAGGTACAAGACCAGAGCCGAGGTACAAGACCAGAGCCGAGGTACAAGACCAGAGCCGAGGTACCAGACCAGAGCCAAGGTACAAGACCAGAGCCAAGGTACAAGACCAGAGCCAAGGGGAGATCCTACAGTGACACCGAAGTCCAAACCCTAGTGACAAGGTCTGATCTCTGTCAGGACTCTCTATGGTCTCTGATTGGTCTCTCTGGTCACTTTCTGATCTCCTTCTACTCTCTCTCTGGTCTCTCTCTGGTCTCTCTCTGGTCTCCTTCTACTCTCTCTCTGGTCTCTCTCTGGTCTCCTTCTAATCTTCCTCTGGTCATTCTCCTAATACCACCCATCCGTATGTGTAACTGTGGTGACTTACGCGACAGCTCTGGTGCAGGGGCCGCTCCCCCAGGCACATGGATGATAGTCCGGCTTCACGTAGGCCTCTGCTCCGTCCTCCACCACACAACTCACGGTCCGCGGCACCACAACCGAGCACCAGTTCCTGAAACACAACAGAGAACACACCTGTGACTTTAGTAAAATAGATTTTACTAAAACACTCAAAATAAATGTCTCTCACTGGTCTCTCTCTGGTCTCTCTCTCTGGTCTCTGGTCTCTCACTGGACTCCCTCTGGTCTTTTTAGTCTCTTTCTGGTCTCTCTCTGGTCTTTCCCTCTCCAGTCTCTCTCTGGTCTCTCTGGTCTCTCTCTGGTCTCTCTCTGGTCTCGCTCTAGTCTTTCTCTGGTCTCTCTCTCACTCTCTCTGCTTGTGTATCAGTTGTATGTCTGTTTTTTAGACCCACTACAGCATGTATGTGATCAGAATATTTAAACATTAACATAAGATGTATTGGAGAGAAATATCCCAAACTACCATCGAGGATCCTGAGGTCTGTTGCACATGGTTTCTGTGAATGGAGTTTTTTAAATTCCAGAAATAATCGCAACTATGTAAAAAACAATGACACATTCTGCAGACGCCTCCTCCGCCACGAGGAGAGAGCACCCTCTGTTAGAACTGGCTCTCTACACACTTCAAACTGTTTAGAAGAAAAGTACAACAGAAGTATGTAAACAAAAGAGAGAGAGGTGTCTGCAGGTCTCTCTCTCGGGTCTCTCTCTCTGGTCTCTCTCTCTGGTCTCTCTCTGGTCTCTCTCTCAGGTCTCTCTCTCTGGTCTCTCTCTCTGGTCTCTCTCTGGTCTCTCTCTCAGGTCTCTCTCTCTGGTCTCTCTCTCTGGTCTCTCTCTGGTCTCTCTCTCTGGTCTCTCTCTCTGGTCTCTCTCTGGTCTCTCTCTGGTCTCTCTCTGGTCTCTCTCTGGTCTCTCTCTCAGGTCTCTCTCTCTGGTCTCTCTCTCTGGTCTCTCTCTCTGGTCTCTCTCTCAGGTCTCTCTCTCAGGTCTCTCTCTCTGGTCTCTCTCTCTGGTCTCTCTCTCTGGTCTCTCTCTGGTCTCTCTCTGGTCTCTCTCTGGTCTCTCTCTGGTCACTCTCTCTCTCTCTCTGGTCTCTCTGGTCCCTGCAGTCTTCCTCTGGTCTCTCTCTTGTCTCAGTCTGGTCTCTCCAGTCTCCTTCTGGTCTCCTTCTGGTCTTTGTGCCATAAACAGTGTTGCTAAGGGGCGGTTGCTAAGGCAAGATGGGATTGGTCTATCCTTATATGGCTCAAATCTGGATTTACAAAAACTATATTAAAAAAAAAAAACCAGGATCATGTCTGGTCCACGTGTGGTCCACGTGAGGTCCATGTGTGGTCCATGTGAGGTCCATGTGAGGTCCATGTGAGGTCCATGTGAGGACCATGTGTGGTCCATGTGTGGTTCATGTGTGGTCCATGTGAGGTCCATGTGTGGTCCATGTGTGGTCCATGTGAGGTCCATGTGTGGTCCATGTGTGGTCCATGTGTGGTCCATGTGTGGTCCATGTGAGGTCCATGTGTGGTCCATGTGTGGTCCATGTGTGGTCCATGTGAGGTCCATGTGTGGTCCATGTGAGGTCCATGTGTGGTCCATGTGAGGTCCATGTGTGGTCCATGTGAGGTCCATGTGTGGTCCATGTGAGGTCCATGTGTGGTCCATGTGAGGTCCATGTGTGGTCCATGTGAGGTCCATGTGTGGTCCATGTGAGGTCCATGTGTGGTCCATGTGTGGTCCATGTGTGGTCCATGTGAGGTCCATGTGAGGTCCATGTGTGGTCCATGTGAGGTCCATGTGTGGTCCATGTGAGGTCCATGTGTGGTCCATGTGTGGTCCATGTGTGGTCCATGTGAGGTCCATGTGAGGTCCATGTGTGGTCCATGTGTGGTTCATGTGTGGTCCATGTGAGGTCCATGTGTGGTCCTGGTCTGGTCCTGGTCTGGTCCTGGTCTGATCCTGGTCCTGGTCTGGTCCTGGTCTGTTCCTGGTCTGGTCCTGGTCTGGTCCTGGCCCTGCTCCTGGTCCTGGTCTGGTCCTGGTCTGGTCCTGGTCCTGATCTGGTCCTGGTCCTGGTCCTGGTCTGGTCCTGGTCTGGTCCTGGTCCTGGTCCTGGTCCTGGTCTGGTCTAACGAAACACTCTTTGAGGTAAATATTTAGATTTTGTGTCTGAGTTTGTGTTTTCCACAGACTTTAATAAATCCTTCTCCTGCAGCAGAGAAAACACACATCTTCAGCTCCTTCACTTTGTCCCGAAAAACATTTATAAACATTAAAAACATTTATAAACATTAAAAACATTTATAAACATTAAAAACATTTATAAACATTAAAAACATTTATAAACATTAAAAACATTTATAAACATTAAAAACATTTATAAACATTAAAAACATTTATAAACATTAAAAACATTTATAAACATTAAAAACATTTATAAACTATAATAATACATTTATAAACATGAAGTACATTTGAGAACCTAAAGAGTCAGAGCCACATAAAGAAGTGTCTGTGTTTTAACTGAAGGAGGTTAAAGTGGGACAAAACAGGTCATTTGGATTGTCTCTCCCTCTCCTCTCTCCCCTCTTCCATCTCCTCCTCTATCTCCCCCTCTCCCATCCTCCTTATCTTTCTCTCCCTCTCCTCACTCCTCACCCCCTCTGCAAATCTCCCCTCTTTACTGTCTCCTCTCCGCTCTCCCTCTCTCTCCTCTCTCTCTCTCCTCCCCTTGCTCCTCTCTCCTCTTTCTCCTCCCTCTCCTCTCTCCTCTCTCCTCTCTCCCTCTCTCTCCTCCCCTTGCTCCTCTCTCCCTCTCCCTTCAGCAGCAGAAGAAGTGATGTAATCTATTTATGGTTTAAGTTTCTGTTTTCCTTCAGGTCTGATCAGGGAGCTGCTCCTTTTGTTTCTGATGGAAGACCAGAGAGAGACCAGAGAGAGACCAGAGAGACACCAGAGAGACACCAGAGAGACACCAGAGAGACACCAGAGAGACACCAGATAGACACCAGATAGACACCAGAGAGACACCAGAGAGACACCAGAGAGAGACCAGAGAGACACCAGAGAGACACCAGAGAGACACCAGAGAGACACCAGATAGACACCAGAGAGACACCAGAGAGACACCAGAGAGAGACCAGAGAGACACCAGAGAGACACCAGAGAGACACCAGAGAGACACCAGAGAGACACCAGAGAGACACCAGAGAGACACCAGAGAGAGAGCGGAAATACTGAAGAGACCAGAGAGAGACCAGAGAGAGACCAGAGAGAGACCAGAGAGACACCAGAGAGACACCAGAGAGACACCAGAGAGACACCAGAGAGACACCAGAGAGAGACCAGAGAGACACCAGAGAGACCAGCGAGAGAGACCAGAGAGAGACCAGAGAGACCAGAGAGACACCAGAGAGACACCAGAGAGACACCAGAGAGACACCAGAGAGACACCAGAGAGACACCAGAGAAACACCAGAGAGACACCAGAGAGAGACCAGAGAGAGACCGGAAATACTGAAGAGACCAGAGAGAGACCGGAAATACTGAAGAGACCAGAGAGAGACCGGAAATACTGAAGAGACCAGAGAGAGACCAGAGAGAGACCAGAGAGACACCAGAGAGAGACCAGAGAGAGACCAGAGAGACACCAGAGAGACCAGCGAGAGAGACCAGAGAGAGACCAGAGAGACCAGAGAGAGACCAGAGAGACCAGAGAGATCAGAGAGAGACCAGAGAGAGACCAGAGAGAGACCAGAGAGAGAGAGACCAGAGAGAGACCAGAGAGAGACCAGAGAGAGACCAGAGAGAGAGACCAGAGAGAGACCAGAGAGACCAGAGAGAGACCAGAGAGAGACCAGAGAGAGAGACCAGAGAGAGACCAGAGAGAGACCAGAGAGAGACCAGAGAGAGACCAGAGAGAGAGACCAGAGAGAGAGACCAGAGAGAGACCAGAGAGAGATCAGAGAGAGACCAGAAAGACCAGAGAGACACCAGAGAGAGACCAGAGAGAGACACCAGAGAGAGACCAGAGAGAGACCAGAGAGACACCAGAGAGACACCAGAGAGACACCAGAGAGAGACCAGAGACACACAGCACTAACACATACAAACTGTTGCTGCAGGGTTCACAAAGATGAGATCACACATTTTTCTTTTTGTGAAAAAGAGGAATTGTTTTGTTGAAAGATGACGCTACAGGAGGAAGAGAGAGAGAGAGGACACATCAACAACAGTCTTTAGAGTTAGGGTTAGGGGAGCGGATGGAGTAGGTCTTGTCGGGGATCAAACCCATGACCATTTACCCCCCCCCCCCCCCCTTCATATGGAAAAGTATACGTAGAAGTATTTATCGCTAAATCCACAAACGGGAACGAAGTCTGCTCCAGGTCTTACTGAAGACTGTGGTCTGCAAATACAACTGGTCTATGAGGTCACTGATAAGACCTGAGACCAGAGACCAGAGAGAGACCAGAGAGAGACCAGAGACCTGAGACCAGAGACCAGAGAGAGACCAGAGAGAGACCAGAGACCTGAGACCTGAGACCAGAGACCAGAGAGAGACCTGAGACCAGAGACCAGAGACCAGAGACCTGAGACCAGAGAGAGACCAGAGACCAGAGAGAGACCAGAGACATGAGACCAGAGACCAGAGAGAGACCAGAGACCTGAGACCAGAGAGAGACCAGAGACCTGAGACCAGAGACCAGAGAGAGACCAGAGACCTGAGACCAGAGAGAGACCAGAGACCTGAGACCAGAGACCAGAGAGAGACCAGAGACCAGAGACCAGAGAGACCATGAGACCAGAGAAGGACCAGAGACCTGAGACCAGAGAGAGACCTGAGACTAGAGAGAGACCTGAGACCAGGAGAAACCAGACCATCAGAGAGACCAGAGAGAGACCTGAGACCAGGAGAGACCTGAGACCAGAGAGAGACCATGAGACCAGAGAGGGACCTGAGACCAGAGAGAGACCTGAGACCAGAGAGGGACCATGAGACCAGAGAGGGACCATGAGACCAGAGAGGGACCATGAGACCAGAGAGGGACCAGGGACCAGAGAGGGACCAGGGACCAGAGAGGGACCATGGACCAGAGAGGGACCAGAGACCTGAGACCAGAGAGAGACCAGAGAGAGACCAGAGAGAGGCTACAGAAGTGGAGGTGTAAACTGAGGGTATTTTTCATAATGATATGTTATTAATGAACGCTGGGATCTAAACCCAGATCAAACAGAAGAGCAGATGTTCTAACCACAGACCACACACAGCTGCAGGAGGTCCACCAGGTCCGGACAGGCCCGGATCCAAGATGGCGTCATGGACAAGTTCAAGGCTTGTGGTCAGTGGCGACCCCCCATGGGCACCGAGAGGTCAGCAGAACTCTCCCATATTTGGGCATCATCTGGTCCTCCTGGTTCTGTGCAGTGGATGAGCTCCCATGATGCTTTGCGCCAAATACGTGTGTGTGGCTCTGACCAATCAGAGGGCAGCGTTCTGACCAATCAGAGCTGTTTGTGGCAGTAAAGTGTAGATTTAAAGAAAGGATTTAAGAAGAAAAAACGTTCAGGACGACAAGAGACACAATCCTCCTTTAAGAAAGCTGTAGGTTCTCTGTCAGGTTCTCTGTCAGGTTCTCTGTCAGGTTCTCTGTCAGGTTCTCTGTCAGGTTCACTGTCAGGTTCTCTGTCAGGTTCTCTGTATAGGTTCTCTGTCAGGTTCTCTGTCAGGTTCTCTGTAGGTTCTGCTGAGGGCAGTTTAGTTTAATTGAGTTCTATTGGACTTTTTCTGGGTAAAGTGAGTTTAGTCTGCAGTACCACAGCGCCCCCTGTGGCCATAGGTGGAACAGCTGTAAGCGAATTATACACTATCCATATGTGATTTTAAATCCATGGGTCTATAATAGCGCCCCCTGTAGCTCATAAGAAACTCAAAGAAACTACTAAAACATGCAGTGTCAAAAGTAATAATAATAATAATAATAATGCATCAAACTTATATAGCCAGAGAGAGGGAGACCAGAGAGAGACCAGAGAGAGGCCAGAGAGAGACCAGAGAGAGACCAGAGAGACCACAGAGAGAGACCAGAGAGAGACCAGAGAGAGACCAGAGAGACCACAAAGAGAGACTAGAGAGAGACCACAGAGAGAGACCAGAGAGAGACCAGAGAGAGAGACCAGAGAGAGACCAGAGAGAGAGACCAGAGAGAAAGACCAGAGAGAGACCAGAAAGAGACCTTTTATGCTGCGATAGATGAAAGCTCTCTTCTACTTTTCCCTTCAGTTTTACGACTCACAAACCGTTTACGTGCGTGCTCACCTGTGCCTGCTGGCCTCGCGTGCCCCGTGCGCGTGTCCTTGCGCGTGTCCGTTGGAGTACAGGCTGTAGGCGGCGCGCATCGGGAACGCGTTTTTGGCGCGCGCCGGAGAGGACCAGCAGAGGACCAGCAGCAGGAGCATCAGTGACGTCATCATCCTCCTCTCGTGGGACCAGGGACCAGGAACCAGGGACTAGGGACCAGGGACTAGGGACCAGGGACTAGAGTCAGGGACCAAGACCAGGGATAAGAGAAGGACCAGAACCGAGACCATGCAGGGCGGACAGAAGGACCAAGACCAAGACAGAACCAGGACTAGAGCCGAGACCAGGACCAAGCGCAAGATAAAGACCAGGACCAGGACTAGAAGGACCAGAGCAGGGACCAGAGCCAGGGACCAGAACCAGGGACCAGATCCAGGCCCAGGGCACGGTGTGGGGTCAGACGGGAGCCGCTCAGAGTCCCGGGAGCAGACGCGTCACGGCCTCAGCCAGACCCTCCCTCTGCCCCATCACCGCATCCAGATGTTCCGAGTCCAAGTGCAAAGACAGGCAATCGAAAAAGCAGGTCCAAACCAGGTCCAAACAAGGTCCAAACCAGGTCTAGGACTTAATCAGGTCGGGTCTAAACTCGGACTAAAGCTGGTCTGAAGCAGGACTAACACAGGTCGAAACTATAAAACAAAACAGGTAGGACTGAAATACGACTTAATCAGGTCTAAAGCAGGACTAAACCAGGATCAAACCAGGTCTAAACTAAAGAACTAAACCAGGTCTGAACCCGGACCAGTCTAGAGCCAAGTCCACGTCCAATCCAGGTTTCAACAATAGATGTAAATCCAGGTCCAAATCGCGTCTAATCCAAACCAGGTCTGGGTCAGCTCTGAACCAGGTCTGAACCAGGTCTGAACCAGCTCTGAACCAGCTCTGAACCAGGTCCGAACCAGGTCCGAACCAGGTCTCGGGTCCACAGTCTCGGGTCCACAGTCTGGGTCTCCCCTCAGTCCTCGGGTCCGGGGTTCTCAGGTCTCTTGTCATCTGGAAAACAAAGCTGTTGCGACAGAGTTGAAGCCGAGACTCGCTCCAGCTGCTGCAGAGAGAAAGTTTTCAGCCCAGTACCGCCCTCCCCCCTCCACCCCCTGCCTCCCCCTCCACCCCCTGCCTCCCCCTCCTCCCCCTGCCTCCCCCTCCTCCCCCTGCCTCCCCCTCCACCCCCTGCCTCCCCCTCCTCCCCCTGCCTCCCCCTCCACCCCCTGCCTCCCCCTCCTCCCCCTGCCTCCCCCTCCTCCCCCTCCTCCCCCTGCCTCCCCCTCCTCTT